TGCTTTTGTCTTCAGGAGTTCCCACAGAGGCCCAAGTCAGATGAGGATCAGATGCTCTCAGGCTTTCTCCTAAGGCCCTCCACCCTCCACGATAGATTTTGGCCTCAGGAATTTGGGGGTTGGACTGGCCTGGGAGCTGGGACCAGGAAAGACGCTGATCTAGGGCAGCTGGTGGCCCTGCCACCCAGAGATGCAAAGGAAGATGGGGGTGGGAGGCGGCCCCAAGGGCCCCTGGGGAATACACTGAGAAGCTGGGTTGGTCTGGATACAAAGGACCAGGAAGAGGAAAGGTCAGCCCCGGGCCTCAGGAATTTGGGGGTTGGACTGGCCTGGGAGCTGGGACCAGGAAAGACGCTGATCTAGGGCAGCTGGTGGCCCTGCCACCCAGAGATGCAAAGGAAGATGGGGGTGGGAGGCGGCCCCAAGGGCCCCTGGGGAATACACTGAGAAGCTGGGTTGGTCTGGATACAAAGGACCAGGAAGAGGAAAGGTCAGCCCCGGTGTCCAGGAAAGAGGCTGGTGGGTTGTGCAGACCCAGGGAGGCAGAGGGAGGTGAGGGCGGGGCCAGGCCCAGATTGCCCCTGGGGACCCAAGAAGGAACTGAGTTGCTCTGGATGCAAAGAATCAGGAAGCAGTGGTGGTTCCTCAGGTGTCTGGGGCACCTTGAATGGGACAGGAGGAGATGGGAGGGTGAGGGTGGGTGAGTCAAGGCGCCGAGGGCCCAATCAACTTACCCCAGAGAGAGGTCCTGCACGCCCAGGGAAGCAGAGGGAGATGAGCGATTTTTACCTTTTTAACCCACTTATTTAACATGGGTGACACTTTAGCTTGAGGTCCCTACTGTGCCACATAACTGTCTCTTATTTTCTAAAGCGCACGAGAGTTTGCTTACATGTATATATGTGCACCACATGTATGCAGTGCCTGCAGAGTATATCCTGGGAACCCAACCTTGATCCTCTGCAGGAGGAGCCAGTGCCCTTAACCACTAAGCCCTCTCTCCAGCCCCATAGGTGGGTTTCTTTTCTTATTTTTTTTTATTTTATGTGTATGCGTGTATTGCCTGCTTGTGCACCGGTGTCCTGCAATGCCTGTGGAGGTCAGAAGAGGCTGTCGGATCCCCTGGTACTGGAGTTATGGACTGGAGTTGTTAGCTGCCCTGTGGGTGCTAGGATTTGAACCCAGGTCTTCTTCAAGAACAGTGTTCTTAACCGCTGAACCATCTCTCCCGCCCTCATAAGTGGGTTTCTTAAAAGTGCTTTATGACCCTGCAAGCTCCTGAGTCAGGACCTTTAAGAAAAATATATAAGCAGGGCATGGTAGCGCATGCCTTTAATCCCAGCACTCGGGAGGCAGAGGCAGGCAGATCTCTGAGTTTAAGGCCA